ATCACCCAGGTACTGAACATAGTACCCATGACATTAATTTTTGAATCTAGTTTTTCTTTCTATTATCTGTGACCTAGAACAAGTTATTTAAAAATTTAAAGCCTTACTTTCCTCATGTAATGGAATGTTAAAATAGGACTCTTGACCGGGGGTGGTGGCTCACGCCTGCAATCCCAGCACTTCGGGAGGCGGAGGTGGGCGGATCACAAGGTCAGGAGATGGAGACCATCCTGGCTAGCATGGTGAAACCCATCTCTACTAAAAATCCAAAAAAAAAAAAAAAATTAGCCAGGCTTAGTGGCGGGCACCTGTAGTCCCAGCTACTCTGGAGGCTGAGGCGAGAGAATGGCCTGAACCCGGGAGGTGGAGCTTGCAGTGAGCCGAGATTGCACCACTGCACTCCAGCCTGGGCGACAGAGTGAGACTCCGTCTCAAAAAAAAAAAAAAAAAAAAAGAAAAAAAAAACAACAAAAAAAAGTAGGACTCTTTTCTCAGATCTTTCCTGGGTATGTGAAAATATTTAAGAAAAAAATAAAATAAATATGGCTGGGTGTGGTGACTGATGCCTGTAATCCCAACACTTTTGGAAGTCAAGGCAGGAGGATTGCCTGAACCCAGGAGTTCAAGACCAGCCTGGGCAATATGGAGAGAACCTGTCTACAAAAAATTAAAAAGTTAGTTGAGCATTGTGGTGAGGGCCTGTGGCCTGGGTGACAGTGTGAGACCCTGTCTCTCTCCCTCTCTTTTTTCTTTTTTCTTTTTTTTTTTGAGATGACGTCTCACCATGTTGCCCAGCCTGGTCTCGAACTCCTGAGCTCAAGCTATCCTCCCACCTTGGCCTCCCAAAGTGCTAGGATTACAGGCATGAGCCACTGTGCCTGGCTAGACCGTGTCTCGAGAGAGAGAGAGAGAGAGAAAAAAAGCCCAGGTGCAGGGACTCATTCCTGTAATCCCAAAACTTTGATAGGCCAGGATGGGAGGATTGCTTGAGCCCAGGAATTCAAGACCAGCCTGGGCAAGATAGTGAGACCCCCATCTCTACAAAAAATTAAAAAAAATTAGCCGGGCATGGTGGCATGTGCATGTATTCCCTGCTACTAGGGAGACTGAAGTGGGAGAATCACTTGAACCTGGGAGATAGAGGCTGCAATGAGCTGTGATCGCATCACTGCACTCCAGCCTGGGTGACAGAGTGGGACTCTGTCTCTTAAACAACAACAACAACAACAACAACAACAACAACAAACAGAAGAGATAGGAGTTCTCAAATGTTGCCCAGGTTGGATGCTGGATCTGAACTCTTGGACTCAAATGATCCTGTCTCAGCCTCCTGAGTAGTTGGGACTGTAAGTGTGTGCCACTGTGCCCAGCAAAAATCAGACTTTTTATTATCTAACAGTGACCAGATAAGTCACAGGGCTTGCTTCTAAAGCAAGTCATCCCTCTAGAACAGGTTTGAATGAAAAGTGGAGAAAAGAAAGCCAGTTGTTTTTCCAAATATAACTGTGAGTCCCACCTGTTCAGTGTATCACCTATATTCATTTCTTTTTTATTTTTTTAAATTTCTTTTTCACCTATATCCATTTCTAATACAACATAATAATAGGGTTTATCTCCTAGGTTGTTGAGAAAGTAACAGAGATAATGCAAATAAAATGCTCAGCACAGTGTCTGATACAAGGAATGAGGTCATCTTAGACCATCTAGCCCCAGTCAGACTGCCTGATGATTGCAGCTGCATAAGTGATTCCAAGTAAGACTGGCAGGAGAACCACACAGCCGAACTCAACCCAAATCACTGATCCTTAGAACTGAAGGGCCTTGGAGCCAGGTGTGGTGGCTCATGCCTGTAATCCTAGCACTTTGGGAGGCTGAGGAAGGAGGATCCCTTGAGCCCAGGAGTTCAAGACCAGCCTGGGCAACATAGGGAGACCCTGTCTCTTCAAAAAAAAAAATAAAAATAACCTGATAGACCTTGGAAAAGAGCAGATGCAGAGGGAGCATGAAGAGTGATTGTTCCTGAAGGTATGGTCCTAAAGGATAGGACTCACGCCAAAAGGTAGATGGAAGAAAGATTTATTTTCAATATACAGAAGAACTTTAAAAATGAAGTTTCCTGAAGATTAAATAAAGTTCCTTTGAAAGTGGTGAGTTTACTATCACTTGAGTTTTTTTTTTGTTTGTTTTTGTTTTTTTTTTTTTTTTGAGACGGAGTCTCGCTCTGTCGCCCAAGCTGGAGTGCAATGGCCGGATCTCAGCTCACTGCAAGCTCCGCCTCCCGGGTTTACGCCATTCTCCTGCCTCAGCCTCCCGAGTAGCGAGTAGCTGGGATTACAGGCGCCCGCCACCTCGCCCGGCTAGTTTTTTTTTGTATATTTTTAGTGGAGACGGGGTTTCACCGGGTTAGCCAGGATGGTCTCGATCTCCTGACCTCGTGATCCGCCCGTCTCGGCCTCCCAAAGTGCTGGGATTACAGGCTTGAGCCACCGCGCCCGGCCCTTACTTGAGTTTTTTGTTTTGTTTTGTCTTAAGCTGGATGACCTTCAAATGTCGGGGATAGTGTAGAATGAATGAATTCAAGTCTTGTATGGGTCCCTTTACCCTTACAGTTTTTGGAATCTAAGAAAACTCTGCACATCAATTTGGCCTGGAAGTTCTGAAGATACTTTCCTTTTATTATTCACTATAGTAACAATTTTAACAGTTTTCTACGAGTTTACAGCAATAAAGATGATTCATTAGAAACGTCTGTCAAAGCTAATCCTTTTTGTCCTTTTAGTTTATAAAATTGCAATTAGCCAAGTAAAATGACTTTATCCTTGGGATTTATCAAACACACATATATATACTTTTTTTTTTGGATACAATGTTTTGCTCTTGTTGACCAGGCTGGAGTGCAATGGCACAAGCTCAACTCACTGCAACCTCTGCCTCCCGGGTTGAAGCGAATCTCCTGCCTCAGCCTCCTGAGTAGCTGGAGATTACAGGCGTCTGACACCATGCCCAGCTAATTTTCTGTATTTTTAGTAGAGATGGGGTTTCACCATGTCAGCCAGGCTGGTCTGGAACTCCTGACCTTGGGAGATCCAACTGCCTCACCCTCCCAAAGTGCTGGTATTACAGGTATGAGCCATGGTGCCCAGCCGTGTGTGTGTGTGTGTGTGTGTGTGTGTGTGTGTGTGTATACTTTTTTTTTTTTTTTTTAAGAGATGGGGTCTCATTCTGTCGCCGAGGCTGGTGTGGCTGGTGTGGTATGGCACTATTATAACTCACTGCAGCCTTGAACTCCGGGCCAAAAGCCATCCTTCTGCCCCAGTCTCCCAAAATGTTGGAATTACAGGCATGAGCCACCACGCCTGGCCTATTCAGAGGCTTTAATTTCCAAACCTAGCTCCTTATATGGAAAAAAGTTATAGTAATGAAGTTTAAATAAAATAGCATTCATCATTTCACTTACTTTACATGGGGTAATTATTTTGAATTTTATAATAATGAACACAATGTAGGTAATTTTTGCAGTCAGGCAAATTAGTGAGAAAAGATACATATTTGTGCATTCTGTTTGGTTAAAATCCATCTCACCGAATGTGTGTGAGTATGACCTTGAATCTGCTAGGAAAAATAATAGTCATTATGATCTTGATTATTTGAATGTTCACCTTTGCCTTTTTGCCCTTTATATCTGGGAGTTTTAGAGATTAAGATTTACTTTCTAGGCCAGGTGCGGTGGCTCATGCCTGTAATTCTAGCACTTTGGGACTCTGAGGGGGGCATATTACCTGACGTAGGGAGTCTGAGGCAAGCCTGACCAACATGGAGAAACCCTGCCTCTACTAAAATTCCAAAATTAGCTGGGCGTGGTGGCACATGCCTGTAATCCCACCTACTTGGGAGGCTGAGGCAGGAGAATCACTTGAACCCAGGAGGTGGAGGTTGCGGTGAGCTGAGATTGCACTATTGCACTCCAGCCTAGACAACAAGAGCAAAACTCCGTCTCAAAAAAAAAAAAAAATTACTTTCTATAGGCAAGACTTCCATTTGAATTGGGGCAAGATGAGTTCCCAGCATAAGGAATAGAGAATTAAAATATTTGTCTTGGCCCAAACTCTTCTCTTTATTTTGCTTTGGACTAGGAGTTTTTCTCATGGTTAACAGACCTCTCTCACATTCTCAAACCCTAAGAGGCAGGTTGGGCCTCTCCCTCCAGACCAAACCTTTTGGACTATTATTATGTGGAAAAAGAGAACTTCCATGAAGGGTCAGGCACTCCTCACAGCCCATTGGAAGGCACTTCCAGATTTAGGCCTTCCCAACAATCGTGCCCTTTAGGGAGGCTTACTTCACTTTTTTTTTTTTTTTTTTTTTAAATTTTTGAGACAGGGTCTTGCTCTATTACCCAGGCTGGAGTGCAGTGGCATAATCTTGGCTTGCTGTAACCTCTGCCTCCCAGGCTCAAGCAATCCTTCTGTGTAACCTTCCTGAGTAGCTGGAACCACAGGTGTGCACCACTACACCCAACTAATTTTTTTTTTTGGGTCAAATGAAGTACGTTATTTCATTTCACAAAATTCCTTATAAAACTTTACAAAATTCCTTATAAAACATGGGGTAGATGCCACCTGGTTACCTCACTCGGCGCCCATCCAACTCCCTTTGAGGGGGCAGATGAGGGTGGAAAGTGTGTGAATGAAATAGCATTATGTACAAGGCAGGGGTTGAAGTGATAGGTACAAGTTCTTTCATATTTACTATATTTCACATATTCACAGGTATACAGAAAACCAGGAGGAAGGAGTGAACTCTGGTCCTGTTCTCTTTTATAAAAAAAGGACCAGTGTCCTGGACTGGACACCCACTGCTATAAAAGATGCAGGGGGGCGCAGGGCCTGATGGTCACAGACTGATATACCGACTGGAGTCTCATAACTTGTTAGGTGGCTCAGCCCAAAGGCAGGCAAAGAAAGGATGCTGAAGGGCTTCACCTAAGGTCAACCGCTTAGCTGGTTCATACTCTAGCATGCTTTCCATCAGATTGAAGAGCTGGTGGTGTTCCTCTGCCTCTGAGGTCAGATACTGCCGCAGTGGTTTGCAGTTCTCACAAACATAGTGCCCAGCTGATGTGTTCTCATCTCAATCCAGGCGACCCCAGTAAAAATGTTTCTGCTTTCTTGTCTTTCGGATCATCCAGGAAGGGGTAGGACCCAAGATCGTTTCCATCATGGCTAGATGCTCTCTGTTGTCATGGATCTGGAAGAGGGTGAAGCGCACACAGTACTCAAAGAAGATGCAGCCTATACTCCACACATCACAAGGCTGTGACCAGCCCAACTCAAGGATGACCTCTGGTGCTCGGTAATGGCGAGTGGAGACAATGGTGCTATCATGCTTATGGTCAAAGGTGGCACTGCCAAAGTCTCCCACCCGCACAGCTGTGCTCTTCACACTGTGCTCATCTTGCTTCTTCTCTAGGTTGTAGGTGAGCTCATAGTCTGAATTCACAAACAGAATATTTTCAGGTTTGAGGTCTGTATGCGTCAGCTTGTTATCATGGAGGAACTTGACAGCCTGGCACAGCTGGAAGGCCATGTGGCACACTTGGTAGATGGGGTAGGGCAGGTAGTTGTTGTCTTTGAGGAAATCGAAGGTGCTAAGGCCCAGAAGCTCAAAGGAGATGCACACGTGGCCATGGTAGTCAAACCAGTCAAACATCTGGACACAGAGGTTCTCGTTGTCAGAGTCTTTCTCGTTGATCTTCTCCAGCACGTTGATCTCAAGTCAAGCTGCTTCCTTACACTTCTCCACATTTTTAACGATCTTCAGGGCAACTCGAGTCCCACCCCTGCGATGGTCAACACATTGTACAACTCGGCCGAAGGTCCCCCTTCCTAAAGTGCTAACGATTTCATATCGCTCTTGTAGCCAGTCCCCGACGTGGTAGATGAGGCGGCCCTCAGCGTGGTCCTCTACACGCTTGGCTTTCCGGTGGCTGTGCTGCGAAGATGAGCGGCTAAATGTCCGGCTGCGCCTCCTCCGGACATGGTCACTGTCCTCTCGCCGCCGCCGTCGTGTCCGGTTATTACCACTTGACCAGGAGCGACTTCTTCGTCGCTTATGTTTTCGGCTCCGATAGTGTTCACGGTGACTCCCCCGGCTGCCTCGCTCTGAGGGATGGTACCCTCGAGGATGAGGCACCGTTCTGGCGGCGAGGCCCGCGCGCGTGGCCCGCAGGAAGTCCATGATGGCGGCGGCACCGCGGCTGGAGTCCCGGCACCCCAGCGGCGACGAAGTGCTGCTCCACCCCGCAACCCGAGACCCTGGGACCTCCCGCCCCATTCTCGGGCTCCGCTTCAGTCCTGCCCGCCTCTGCTTAACTGTCGGCCTGTTTCTAGTATTGGCGTTTTCAAAAACTCTGATGTAACAATCAGTAGTCCTGGGTATCTGGGTTCACTTTGGGGATTGCTAAAGCAGCATATTCTTCATAGGAACCGAATAACTGATTTAAGGTGAAGGAAGTAAGAACAATTTATGTAAAGTTGTTTTTTTTCTTTAAACTTTTGGAAGCACTCTGCAAAATATATTTAGAAGCCGAATTACCATGGAATAGGTAATTTGGCCATAATTTGACTTAGCACATTGTGGAAAAGAATAGGGGAAATCATCAGGCGGAGTCACTAAACTCTGAAGCTCCCAGGGGATCAGCTTTAGAGCCCTCAGTAAATTATCTGGGAGGGAGAATATGCAAACAATAAGAAAAATAAACTTAGTACAGTACTTTATTTTCAAAGTACTTTTCTACATATTTCAGGTCCAAAAAATGTTATGTAGACAAATTGTTTGGGTACCACCCCCCTCCCTTCTCGGTGCCCTTTCAACAAACCCCACCCTCTCCCCAAAGTCTTCCTCCTGTTCAAAGGCATTCTTGACAGTTAGATAAATGAATAATCCTGAAATCGGATTCATATTTTAGGAGACTGATCTCAGCTCAGTATTCTCTCCTATCACACCTGTGGTTTGCTGCTGTCCGTTTTACCTCTTCCCCCACCACACAGATGGGGTCTTGCTCTGTCGCCAAAGCTGAACACCGTGGCTCACGTGTGTAATCCCAGAACTTTGGGAGGCTGAGGTGGGTGGATCACTTTAAACCAGGAGATCAAGACCAGCCTGGGCAACATGGTGAAACCCCGTCTTTACTAAAAAAATACAAAAAATTGGCTGAGCATGATGGTGTTCACTTGTAGTCCCACGTGATCAGGAAGCTGGGGTGGGAGGATGGCTTGGGTCTGGCAAGTTGAGGCTACAAGTGAGCTGAAATCACACCACTGCACTCCAGCCTAGGTGACAGAATGAGACCCTGTCTCAAAAAAAAAAAAAAAAAAAGAAAAAAAAGAAAAGAAAAAAAAAATACGGAAGTAGGAAAAAAAAAAAGTGTGTGTGTGTGTGTGTGTGTGTGTGTGTATATATATATATATATGGAAGTAGGTACTCCAATTCCAATTTTTTCTCCCAGTTCAGTTTCTCTTTTCCTCAGAGACAACCATTAACCTCTGGAAAGGTTATTTTTTCTTGTTACCATGATATTCTGAGCTTGCCTTTTAGGAATAGACTACTTTCTCCCCTATTATGGCATTGAGGAAGGTGACACTTTTCTATCTGGGGCCTGATACGAGTTGGCTGTGGTTATTCTCCTTGATTCCAGAAAGGAATGGCTTCAACTCTGATTGAATTAATTTGAGCAACTAATTATGTTCTTCTGATTTTAGGTCTTTCTTTGACAGATGAGTGGGTGGAGTTTGGCAATACCTCCCATTACTTCTAGGAAAATGGTTTCTAAAGTGAAAAGTGCTATACAAGATCATAACAATTATTATTATTATTATTATTATTTTCATGTCTTGAACCTTCTAAATTAATATACTCTTGTCTACCAAGGTGTGGAATACTATGGAAGTAACAGAAAATCTTGAAAGTTACATGAATCGTTAGACAGCGACCAGGAAAACCTCTGTCAGAGAGCCAAACAACATGTATTAAATATATACAGTGTCCAGAGATTTGTGTACTGGGGTTAGCAGAAAAATTCATTCATTCACACTTAATCTTAGCCAAAAGGCTGAGAAGTGATAATTCATTCACAATGTTTTTTGGTTTTTGTTTGCGTGTGTGCGTGTTTTTTTTTTTTGTTTGTTTGTTTCTATTGCTCAGGCTGGAGTGCAGTGGCGCGATCTCGGCTCACTGCAACCTCTGCCTCCCGGGTTCAAGCAATTCTCCTGCTTCAGCCTCCTGAATAGTTGGGATTACAGGCACCGCCACCATGCCCAGCTAATTTTTGTATCTTAGTAGAGACTGGGTTTCGCCATGTTGACGAGGCTGGTCTTGAACTCCTGACCTCAAGTGATCCGCCTGCCTTGGCCTCCCAACGTGCTGGGATTACAGGTGTGAGCCATCATGCCTGGCTATTCACAATGTATTTATTTATTTATTTTTATTTATTTTTTTTGAGAGGAGTCTCGCTCTGTCGCCCAGGCTGGAGTGCAGTGGCGCGATCTTGGCTCACTGCAAGCTCCGCCTCCTGGGTTCACACCATTCTCCTGCCTCAGCCTCCCCAGCAGCTGGACTACAGGCGCACGCTGCCATGCCCAGCTAATTTTTTGTATTTTTAGTAGAGATGGGGTTTCACCGTGTTAGCCAGGATGGTCTCAATCTCCTGACCTTGTGATCCGCCCGCCTCAGCCTCCTAAAGTGCTGGGATTACAAGTGTGAGCCACCGTGCCTGGCCATGATGTATTTATTGAGTGCTACTACAAGTGTTTGGAAACAGTGAATAGTGAGGTGTTTAGAATCAAATATAGGCCATTGGCTTAACATACATACTTTAGCATAAAGGACCATTTCATGAGTTACTTGCTTCAGTGTCTTTCTTTAATGCTTTAGTGTGCTTACAATGATAATAGTGGATGCAGAACCTGTGGATACAGAGAGCCAACTACAAGACTTGAGCATCTGCAGATTCTGTTATCCTATGGAGTCCTGGAATCAGTCCCCCATGGATACCAAGGGATGGCGGTACTGTGGAAACTGTACACATCAGCTCACATTCTCATTGTAATCCTCACAATATCTTTTTGATGTACTCTTATTACTGACACTTTGCAGATGGGAAACGGAGGCTTAGAGAGGCTATGGAACTTGCCCAAGGTTACACAGTTGTAGCGCTTGGAATTGAATGAAGGCAATCTGACTCCAGACCTCTACTCTTTATTTTTTAAACTGGGAAACATAACACATACATGGAAAAATGCATAAACAATAAATATATAATCTAATGAGTTATTACAAAGCCCACAGCAGTGTAACTACCACCCATACCAAGGAATAGAAGATTTGTAGCATTCCAACCCTATTAGCTCTTCACACTCTCAAATCCCTCCTCACAGGACTCCTTTGGTCTCAGAGGTAGCCACTAATCTCCCTTTCATGATGATCAATTCCTTGCTTTTCTTTATAATTTTAACACCTAAGTATACATTCTTTTTTTCCTGTTTTTGAACCTTACAAAAATGGAATAACACAGTATATATTATTTTGTGAATAGTTTCATTTTCTTAATAATTAAGTTTTTAGGATTCATCTATATTGTCGAATGTAGCTTGTTCCTATTTCCAAACTGCTGTATGAGTTTACTTTCCCTATGGCAAAGTATGAGAATTACCATTGCTCCACTGTGGTCAACATTTGTAATCGTCAATCTTTTTCGGTTTTAGCCATTCTGGTGGGTGGCATGTTATTCTCTCATTGTGATTTAAATTTTCTTGTCCTCATATGAGGTTGATGCTTTTTCATGTTTATTGGTTATTTGGATTTCTTCCTTAGTTAAGAGCCTGTTCAGCTCTTTTTCTTTTTCTTTTATTTTCTTTCTTTTTTTCTTTTTTGAGACAGAGTCTCACTCTGTCGTACAGGCTGGAGTGCAGTGGCATGATCTTGGCTCATTGCAACCTCTGCTTCAGGCACGCATCAGCACATTGGGCTAGTTTTTGTATTTTTAGTAGAGACAGGGTTTTGCCATGTTGCCCAGGCTGGTCTCGAACTCCTGGTCTCAAGTGATTTGCCGACCTCGGCCTCCCAAAATGCTGGGATTACAGGTGTGAGCCACCGTGCTCAGCCTCAACTCTTTTTCTTATGATTATAGTTCTTTATATATTCTAGATACAAGACCTTTCTTGGTTATACATGTTGTAAATTAACTTCATACCTTCCTTCTTTCTCTTCTCTTCTCTTCTATTCTCTCCTCTCCTCTTTCTCTCTTTCTCCCTTCCTCTTTCTTTCTCTCTCCTTCCTTCCTTCATCCCTCCCTCCCTCCCTCCCTCCCTCACTCTCTCTCTTCCTTCCTTCCTTCTTTCCTTCCTTCCTTCCTTCCTTCCTTCCTTCCTTCCTTCCTTCCTTC